ATTCAATATTTTATGCTCTTTCAATGCTGACGTTTATAAGAAAACAAGCGTTTGATTGATTGCAGTCTAAAGACGAAGGTTTTAGTGAGAAGTCTCCTCTTTTTCGCGCACATTCTGCTTTGCTATGTCCACATTAATACCTGCGGCCATGAAGACGGCAGAGTTTCCTGGAAAATTTACGATGATACTCAAGTAGAAGCGTTTCGTATCTTTCGGTAAGTAAAAACAGTAATATATAGAATCGATATGATTCATCTGAGGATTGTTCAACATGGCTGGAACGGCATTGTCACGTGTCGGATTCGGCTGAGTCAAAGAGCCATATAGTGTGACACAATTATTCAAACAATTGGCATCAGCAATGATCGGTGCAATAACTATAATGAGGTTTGAATTTATTGTACGCTCACTAACATCAATTTGAAGACTGTTGTAGGTATCAGTTAGATTGTTAATGAATCCTGTTTCATCTAGAGAGAACATCCGAGGCACATCAGAAATCATGTTGCTGATGATTGCGCTACTTGCTAACAACTCAGAGTAGCTGTTCAATTCAACAACATAAGTGTGTGCCGGCTCCGAAGCAATGGTCGACAATAATGTCACGTTGAACTGGTTCTTAATTCCAACTGCGATAATTGTCATGGCTTGTTTCTTTTCTAGCGATCGTGCTTCATCCCTACCCGTCGAGGACTGTAAATTGGAAGTAAAAAGAACGCTCACTCGTGACACATTACTTGACCGACAGTGGTTTACACAGTGATGCTGCACCTCTTTCATAGCCATAGCCAATGTTGATGCATTCTGTGGACTGGGAAAATACTGTTTCTGTTCAACTCTTCGTCGGATCACATCAATCAAATCATTGCCATTTGTCTGATACACAATATCAACCATTTTCGATGTTCCGTAGAAAAGAATAGTAATTCGAGGACAGCCTTTTAGCAGAACTTCGGCAATGTTAATGAGGGAACTCTTCAAAAATTCAAACTCTAATCGGTTCATATTTCGATTGGATGCGTCAGCCATCAAGTAAACATCGACTGATTGCTGATTCTGTGGGTTACTGTAAGCTCGATTTTGCCGTGAAGTAATGGCAGCCTGGATACTCACGTTCAAGAGAATAATGCTTGAGAAAAGTATATATATGCTAAACATCTTTTTGCTTCGGTAATATAAAATGAAGTGAGTTGGTCGCGCTATTTCGAACCACTTATATATCACGCAGAGACCTGACTTTGTTGCATAAAGAGAACGCTTTAAGGATTACAGCCATGCATGAATATCAAGATCGAGTTACACTTTGTTTCAGATTTCCAGCTTTGTATTTGGTGATCGTCCGACAAGGCACAACATCAGTATCGTCTCCTACTCTTAAATTTCACCAACATCTTTTGTTTCACTACTCTCCTGTTTAATGCACATATTTTTGTAAAACGAAGCGACAAAGATAAATATTTTTACTGTTGCGACTGTATCTAAGACAGAGTAGGCGTTCACTTCTCTGGCTGTATGATTCAACACTCATATACAGCCGTGTTTCACAAAAAGGAGAAATGAGAGCGAATTTAAGGCCATAAAAACAAAACAATCAATGCATCGAAAGACAAAGCATGTTTTCTGAATTCATTCGTTTTTCTTATTTATTATAAGATACATTAGCTGTGGTTGAAAAAATCTACTTTCAAGCAGCAGTGTTTGTGAGAAGGAGGATCCCCTCGAACTCATATCTAAACTTATTCGCACTATTACATAGATGGGCGGGTGTGGGTGTGGGTGCGTGGGTGTGTGTGTGTGTGTGGTTGGGTGGGGTCTGGGTGGGGTCTGGGTGTGGCTGAGTATGGATGTGGGTGTGAGTGCGAGTGTGTGGATGTGAGTGTGGGTGTGGATGAGTGCGCGTGTAGGTGTGAATATGCGTGTCGATGTAGCTTTTAAGGGCATGGATGTGGGTCTTACAACTTTCTTTTCACAAACACTTCACACACCTACACCTACACCCACGCCCAAACCTACACCTACGCCCCTCACGCACACCCACACCCACCCACACCCACACCCGCACCCACATCGACACCGGCACCCACAATCACACTCTTATAGCAGTCATAATCAATAATGACCAAGTCACAACTCGAAACCAAATATTGGCACGTCGTGATAGTTTTTCCCTGCGTTATTCTTTCTAAAAATGGATTTTTGCTGTTTTTTTTGTACGTTTTTATTTGAATAAATAGTACAGAACAATAATTACGATGCGTTAATTATATCTACGTGCAAGCGATCGGAAACGTTCTTGACCCGATGTCATATAACAATTTGAACTAAATGTTGTAGCCGTTGAATAAGCGAATCGTTCTTGTCCATGCTACATATACATATTAGTCATGGTTGTTCTTAATTCATATTGACTTGTATACTGATATTCCAAATCGCGTATTAACTGTTGACATAGTGGATCTTGAGCTGATACAGACGATCGAATTTTTGCCAATTGTGCATTCAATAATTCTCGAGCACGTTCGTAGTTTGGTTCATTGACAGCTTCTTTCAAAACACGACTTGTTTCTGCACGATTACGTTGTAAATCTAGTGCATAGTTTATAACAAGCAATGGTGAGTCAGGAGTTAGTTGAGCAGGATGTACAAGTAGAAATGGTATCGTTGGTGTGTGAATTTGACGCCCATTAATTGCGTCAGTGTATTCGATTGATACACGACCTGTCAACAGAAGAATCGTACTGTATTAGAAAGAAATAAGGATTCTACTTACCAATGATATCATTATTATTCGGTTGTTCGACAAGTGCAGGTACGTTTAATTGAAAGACAAGATTACGACTTTCCTCACTATTAAGATCATTAAGTTTGAATGTGATTTGTGAAGATGGTAATAGGGCAGGTTCATGTCTATAGATAGAATGCGAGTGTGTGACTGCATATGAACCATCGAAGTCAAGTTTTACATTCAAGTTCTGCGCAACACATGTAAAGAGAGTACCACGAGCAGTAGCAAAAGCAAGAGCGATTGAATCGACTTGATCAATAAAGGTAAATGTTCCTCCGTGTCCTTGCTCTGCCAATTGAGATAGCAATGCTGCCCTATGTCCTAGTCCATAGCCGAATGTGTGACAAACGACACCATCAGGTAGAGTTCGCATTAGTTGAGAATAATCATGATGCTGATTATCTTGACCATCAGTGAGAAGAAGCATGGCTCCGACTGGATTTTTCGTTCGACGATTGATTAACATTCGAATACCCATTTCGAGACCAGAACCAATATAAGTGCCACCACCGGCATGAATATTCTGCGCAACTGCAGTGTGAAGAGTTTGTTGTCTAAAAGAAGAAAATAGTCATCAAAAGCTGAAGCAATAGAATACTCACTTTGCGTGTGTCATCATATTAAGACCATTGGATCGATCGTATGCTTTAGTATCAAAAGAAACAATCGCTAATCGATCGAGTGAATTCATTTGATCGATAATATAATCCAAAGTCTTTTTCAGTAATGCAATTTTCTCTCCTTGCATTGATCCACTTTGATCAACAACACATACGAGATCGATTGGAACACGTAATTCATTGAGTTCCTTCTCGCTAGTCGTGATCGAAAGAAGAGAAGGTGCTTTGAGTGTCATCATTCCATAGATATTGGAGGCTTGTGTTGAAACTTGACCACCAAATTCTAACGTAGTTGTAGCTATGATCAATGCAAGTTCAGTTGTACCATTAGCTGCCTGTTAACGAGCAGCTTGGATTCGAGCTGAGAGAGCACGAACAGCTGCTTCATCAACCCAATCTTCAGATGAGTTCGAGTATGATAGCTGTTCAAATTGGTTTACATGTGTGGATGATGCTTGTGACTGAGAAGAATTCTTACTCACCCAACTATATGCATTGCTAAGCGATCTTCTCAATGTAGACCAAAATCTAGAAGCTGTAGACGATGGCGTACCAGCAGCTTGTGTAGGAACGTGAACAGGTGCAGATGTACTTTGCACTGGTGTCTGGATAACTCGGCTCAAAGAATCCAGTCGAGTTCGACAGAGTGGACATTCATGATTTTGTGCTTCAACACTTTTTGTCAAACAAACAAAATGAAATTGATGTTGACATGCAGTTTTAAACAGATCCATGCCTGGTTGTACTAATGCACCCAAACAAATCGGTATGATGGAAAAAGGCAGAAAGGAAAAATATCGAAAGGGAAAAATGTCGAAAATAAAAATATCGAAAACAAAAATAATACAAATGTAGATGGATAGAAATGCTGAAAACGAGAGTATATTGAAGTACAAGTCTCCCTCACCCTCAATTCAATTTTACATGCTCATTTTCATCTCATATTCTTGTTTTCGACATTTTTATTTTCGATATTTTTCCCTTTCGACATTTTTCCTTTCTGCCTTTTTTCATCCATTCAACAAATCGAGCATACATCAGTGTCAGAATTTGAAGAATTTTTCATTGTAGACATGATAATACTTTAAAGTCTTTAAGAAAATAAATGTGAAAGCAAGAGCAACGTCGTCATGATTTAAAATATAAGGTAAGTGTAATTACACAATCCTACTGACATAAATACAATGTGACAAAGATGAATCATACATGCTTGCGTAAATAAACTGATGCATCTTATACTGAATATGGAAGTGAATCACTTTAGTTATCGTCATATTCAATTCGATCGAGGCTATCTGTGTGCACTATCACTTAGAATAAGTCTTTATCCTTATTCTTTTGAATAGCTAAATGATATTTAAAACAGAAAAATATGTAGGTCATTATTAGGATGAATGGCTTCTTTTTACAATTTTTTTTGTTTAACGTAGCAAGGTAAATTTTTAACAAATCGTTTTGGGATTAATAGTGGAGGATTTTTTATTCGTTTTTCAATGTCTTGATATAATTCTTTTGCCGAGATAAGATTTTTGTAAGCTATACTCCATATTTGTATAATTTTTTCCAGTATGTGTGTCGATTATATTGTTTATGATCTTAAGAATAAAATTCGAATTTACGCCAATTTGTTGCAGAGCTCTTTCATGAAAGTTCTTTGATGTTCTATTATATTTCAGCAACCTTTTCGCCAGTTTAATTAGTTTTTGAATGAAATAAATAATTGTTAAGTTATCAGATACGTATATCATCGACTGATAGATGAATGAGAAAATTAATATTGATGAATGTGTTCACACAATTTTTCAAAGTTCGTCTCTTAGTCGTACTTATTATAGATTGTGAAATGTCTGCAAAAGAACTCGATCGATACTGTTTATCCTCATCCTTAACGATCTGTTTAGTGAAATAAAGCGAAAGCCGATAAAATTCAATCTCGATTTCAAACAGCACATTTTGTAATTCATCATCAAGTTGTATCATTCGATTGAGGAAAATTGTGGCTATAGAACGATCGAGAGTTGTTGAAAAGAAACTATTATTAATGATATAAGTATCACATCGTTGAAGCTCTGCAATTTCTTTGCGCGACATCAGTTGTCCACGATAGACATTAATTGAGGAATCTTCGAAATATGTGTGCGGAGCGCTTTCTGCACGAGACGATAGATGAATGAATCTTTCATGTACCAATTAACAGTTGTTTCCGGTTTGTAAGTTTTTTCAAATTCTTCTAGAAGACGACTTTGTGCGATATTGCCAGTGTAATTATATTTGCAGAAATTGATGAATTTAAAAGAAAAATCTTCTAGGTGTGGTAAATAGTAGACAAGAACGTTGATAAAATCAATCCACCATAAACATATAATTCGTGATCGATTGTTTTATCTTCTTTTCGAATTTCTCGAAAGATCTCAGCGTTTTCTTCATGTTTTTTTTAATGATATTTGAGATTGTCAGCCAAATCGTTCGACTCACTTTTGAATACTTTTCAGACCATTGTTGATGATACTCTGTATTTTCATAGTAAACTTAGATTGAAGAAATATTTGTCAGATGATAAATTTGAGGAAGAAAAATGTCTTCTAACTGTTTAGAACATAGTTTGGTATAATCAACAATTTTACGGAAACCTTCAAGTATCACTTTGATAGGTGTTCATGTAACGATGTATTGGATGATGTTGATGTAGCTGTAGCTGTTGAAAGTGTTCGTAAATATGTATCTGTCCTCAAAACCATGTCATCGGATGAGATCTGTGGCTCTTCAAAGTAGTTTTTCATTAAATTTTGGTGTAATTTGTCTGCATTACTGGTAAAATCTTCAACTGCTTCTGTTTGTTCCCGGATGGATCTCATCTTTTTAGTAATGTCTATAATTTAAACGAACGACAAATAAAAATTCGACACATACTATAACAAATTCAAGAAATGTACAATCGGCATGGTTGCTGTGAGTTACCCTTTGTGCTTCAGCAGAATTAGTAGGTAAGTTGCAAAAATCTTGTCAACCACTTGTAAAATGATACATTCCACCTCGTAAACGTAATACGAGATGTAACGTACTTTCTTCTGGTATACTATAATCTGAAAGAGTTCTACCGTCTTCTAACTGCATAATGCCATAATTATTTTGATATAACTGGAATGACATGATAGTATCTTTTGATTTTAGTGGTGTGCCATCTATCCAGTCCTTTCTGCTTGGTTTTACATTTTGATCTATCATACATGATTTCAATTTTATATTCCTAAATTATCTTTGTTTCTTTATCTACATCTTGACTTTCTCCATGTTATCCGTCAGCAGAATTTGTACGACAATTTTTTGAAGCCATGCATCTTCATAACTTCTGATTCATACAAGCACTTCACCATATGTCACAAATTGATGATCATTTGTATAGTTCGGGTGTGAGTGTGGGTGTGGGTGTAGGTGTGGGTGTTGGGGTGGGGATGGGTGTGGGTGTGGGTGTGGGTGTAGGTGTGGGTGTTGGGGTGGGGATGGGTGTGGGTGTGGGTGGGTGTGGGCGTGGGTGGGTGTGGGTGTGGGTGGGTGTGGGCTGTGAGTATGGTTGCATATAAAGAATATGACCACACCCACATCCACACACCCTTACCCACACGTCACACCCACACCCACACTCGACAGCCACAGCCATACCGACACTCACACCGACACTCACTCACACTAACACACACCCACACCCTTCTAATCATTCCAGTAGGTTATTATACGCTTTGTTTCAAACCCTATTGAGAATTCATTCTTCTTTGTTAGCGAGAACTTGAAAAAGAGTTTTCAACATGAAAAAGAGACTGACCGGAACACTTCAGTGAGAGATTAATTCGACATCCATCAGCAATATTTAGTTACATGGGTATTCTATCCTACAGAAATCATAAATTTGTTCACTCACTATGAGGTTTCGTAGGCTACGAGAGAACGATAATGAACTGTCTGTACGATGTCAATAACCGTAAGATAATGATTAGTAATAAATAGGAGATCCTGGGTACAGTCTGTCTGACATTTCTGGACGGGTACTGCCAAAGTCTTATTCGAGGCCTTGCAGAATTTGCTGCTTAAAGTTAAACTTACTTATTAGAAAATTCAAGCATTCATAAATAATAAAAACCAACGAAAGACTCTATCAACGAAAATATGATCATCGATATGTCTGAAAAGATATTGTATGCAAAGTCATCAGCACCTGCTCTTACAAAACCTCGCAAAACGATGATGCATTTTTCGTTGTCAATTTAGAATGTTTCACTACTTTCCAGTCACCCACAAGTTCCCTCCTGTGATTCTCGAATATTTCGCGTAAATTCCATATCAATTAAGGACGCGACACCCGAAGTACCACTGGCTCATTGCTACTGTAAATAATGATATTATTCTCATGTGCAGTTACTGCAGACGCTTGAATTAGGAAAACATAGACAGCCAACGGAAGCCACACATCGTTTCCCGTTTCCAAAAATACCTTCACCAGTTGCTCAGAAGGAACTCGTGCAAGCGTTATCGACGTGCTTCGTTTAATATATGAATGTAATTTCGAAACCACGTTTGAATCTAATCCTTTTAGTTCACAATGCGAACATAGAGCCCATTCAAGAACAGCAGTTCCATATTCATCATCATCACTTTTCTCATCAGCAAGCATGTTTACCAGACAAGTGATCACTTCAGTCGTTGCTGCTTTTTCTCCCATGTTTTTAAGGGCTTCACAAGCATATTGTCTGACATTCGAATTTTTATCGCGGAGTACATTCGCCAGACCAGCGATCACTTCATTCGTTGCTGCTTTTTCACCTATATTTTGAAGGACTAAACACGCATTTTCTCTGACACCATCATCTTCATCACGTAGTGCATCAAACAAACCAGCGATTACCTCATTTGTTGCTGCTTTTTCACCCATCATCGAAATGACTCCATAAACATTTGCTCTGACACGACCGTCTTCATCCCGTAGTGCATTCAACAGGCCAGCGATCACCTCATTCGTTGCTGCTTTTTTACCCATCTTTCCAAGCGCGTCAAATGCAGACATTTCGACATTGCGATTTCCCTCGCGCAGTGCATTCATCAAACCAGCAATCACATTCTTCGTTGCTGCTTTTTCACCGATGTTTTCAAGGGCTGCACATGCATTTGCTCTGACATTGAAATCTTCATCCCGTAGTGAATTCATTAGACCAGTGATCACCTCATTCGTTGCTGCTTTTTCACCCAGCTTCCCAAAGACTTCGCATGCATAGTTTCGGACGCGTCGATCTTCATCGCGTAACGCATTCATCAGACCGGTGATCATCTCACTCGTTGCTGCTTTTTTACCGATGTTTCCAAGGGCTACACATGCATTTGTTCTGACATTCGAATCTTCATCTCGTAGTGAATTCATCAGACCAGCGATCACCTCATTCGTTGCTGCTTTTTCACCTATCTTCCCAAGGACTTCTCATGCATAATTTCGGACACGTCCATCTTCATCGCCTAACGCATTCATCAGGCCAGCAATGATCTCAGTCGTTGCTGCTTTGTCACCCATGTTCCCAAGGGCTTTACACGCACTCTGTCTTACATTCGAATCTTTATCGTGAAGTACATTTATCAGACCAGTAATCACCTCATTTGTTGCTGCTTTTTCACTCATCGTTCCAAGAATCACAGAGGCATTTGTCCTGTCACGGCTATCTTCATCCCGTAGTGCGCCTATCAAACCAGCGATCACCTCATTTGTTGCTGCTTTTTCATCCATTGTTCGAAGGACTTTGCACGCATAGTTTTGGATATCCCCATTTTCATCTCGAAGTGCATTCACTAAAGCGGTGATTATCTCATTCGTTGCTGCTTTTTCACCAATCGTCTCAAGTGCTTCACACGCATAGATTTGGGCTTCCCAATTTTCATTGCCTAGTGAATTAATCAGGTCAGCAATCATCTCATTCGTTGCTACTCTTTCATGCATTTTTCCAAGGACTGTATACGCATTTGCTCTAACACATCCATCTTCATCCCGTATTGCATTCCTGAGAGCAGCGATCACCTCAATTGTTACTGCTTTTTCACCCATGTCTTCAAGGGCTTTACAAGCATATTTTCTGACATTCGAATCGTTATCGCGAAGTACATTCGCCAGACCAACGATAACCTCATTCGTTGCTGCTTTATCGCCCATGTTTCGAAGGAGTAAACAGGCATTTGCTCTCACACGACTATCTTCATCCCGTAGTGCACTCGTCAGACCAGCGATCACCTCATTGATTGCTGCTTTTTCACCCATATTCAAAAGCACACTATACGCAGAATCTAGTGTATCCGAATTTTCATCGCGTAGCGCATTAATCAGATCAGAGATCACTTCAGTCGTTGCTGCTTTTTCACCCATGTTTCCAAGGGCTTCACAAGCATATTTTCTGACATGTTCATCTTCATCTCGTAATGCATTCCTCAGACCAGCGATTACCTCATCTGTTGCTGATTTCTCACCCATCATTCTAAGGACTAAACACGCGTTTGCTCTCACGCGGCTATTCTCATCCCGTAGTGCCCCCATCAGACCAGCTATCACCTCATTCATTGCTGTTTTTTCACCTATCGTTCCAAGGGCTTGACACACAGATAGTTGGACAAACCAGTTTTTATCTCGAAATGCATTGATCAGAGCAGCAATCACCGCATGTATTGCTGCTTTTTCATACATGTATTGAACGATTATACACGCATATATTCTGATCTGTGAATCTTCATGGCGAAGTGCATCTATCATTTTAGAGAGAAGGTTTGATAGAGGTTTTGATATCGCTAATTGTGATATTGTGCTTAGTGCTTTCTCTGAAATGCGTTTGTCTTTACTGTCGAGGAGTTCAATTAATTTATTTTGCACGAGAATTTGATTGGCTAGAGAATTTGTACGTTGGAACGATTGTAAAAGATGGTCCGTGATAATACGCGAATTGGTGGAGACGCATATATCTAACCATTGTGCTATTGACTGTAGGTAGGCTACGCATTGCGGAAAGTCTGAAGGTGTGTCGAGTTGATCGATACATTGAATAAGAAGTGTAATGTGCTTTAGACAGGCAAGATCTAGAGGTTCTCCCTCTATGGTGAACCAAAATGCATCGAAACATGATTGATAGTCTGTTTGTGCCAGCAACCCAGATGCAAAGAGAAAGACTAAAAGAAAGCGTTCGTTGTACTTGTGATTGTTTATAAAATTGGTTGCTTTTTGAATATCAAGACTTTTGAGGGCTTTAAGCAGATGGCGTGCTGTAAAATGTTCTTGAAAGCTGAGATGAACAAAATAATATTGTTTTTCTAGTAGATTTTGATTGCCAATAGGTTTGTAGTCATATGATTTGAGAATGCCGATATTTAGTAATTGTGGATTATCGACTAATGAACACTTAGTGTCGTTTTGTGTCTGTCGGAGTAACAGTGGTGGTAGAATAATATTGTTACATTCCATTGCGTTAAAAGCTAAGTTTTCTAAGAATTGCAATTCCTTATAGCATCGCGCATAAAGTTCTTGTTTTGACATTTGCAGATGATTAATATTTTGCCTTGTTAAATGCCGTCGACATAGTCATTCTGTCATGCTATCATACAGTGTTGTCATTGTCATCGTTCTCGTTTCTGTCCAGTCAGCCTCAGCCCAAAGACTACAAATCAATTCTAGATTGACCGGGATGTGAGCAACACCCTAGATGCTACGATTTGACTTTAAAAAGTTCATAAGATTCTGGTCTTCACGCGAGGTACTTGCTCTATCATCTTTAATCTGACCGAAGAACTGCTCAATATATTTGGCAATATTATCATCTGTGAATCCTGTTAATTCCAGTTTCATATCATATGGTAATGCGATCGCACAGGGACGAGACGTTAAGATATGATGCTGTGTTTGATGTATATGGCCGAATACATCTTTTAATTGTTCTGGAATATTTTGAACAAACTCATCATAACCATCTAATATCCAAAGAACTTGACCTTTATTACACATTTCTTTGAAATGGTGTCTCTCTTCCCTGGACAAATCGTCACACGGGAAATATTCTTTCTCCACAAGATCAACTGGGAAGTATTTTTTCCCTGATGGATAACGACTATCTGTCAATGAGCGTAACTGAATCAAAACAACCAACTCATATTTTTGCCAAATTTCACCTTTAGCCCATCGGTAAGTAATATATTGGCAAAAGGTTGTTTTTCCGATTCCAGCTCGTCCAAGCACTAAGACTTTCTTCGTCTGATTGTTACATTTTTCGAAAATGTTCTCGACATTGATTGGGATCTTAACACCATAAATTTCTTCAAAGGTGCCAAGGATCTCGTCTTTGTGCTGTTTTCGATGGTAGTCATGTTCTTGTTGTCCTAGCTTTTTCTCTTTTTCTTGCTATTCTTTGGCTTCCACCATAGACAGATTAATGTAACTTTGTTCAATTGGGAAATATTTTTCTTCATTTACTATACATTTGATTTTATTTTCTCGTAGATGTTTCTGTCGAATCGGTTCGAATAAGTGGAGTGGTGAAGGGATTGATTCTGTTGTAGGAATTGAGGTTTGATTTTTTATTCTATCAATTAGTTCGTTCACTTTTGTATGTATATTTACTTCAGATGTGCCGTAAAAGTCAATGTATAGAAGTCGCGATGTTATTATTCCTAACCAACTGGAGGGTTTCCATATTTTTCTATCACTTACCATGCACGGGATATTCGTTTCTTTTTACTGTCAGCATAGGTTAACTCTTTTTCACAGGCATCGGATTTCTGATATTCGGGTGTCATAAAGCAACAGACAACCCCAGCATCTTCTACCGCTTCGGCCATACTAAAAAGACGAATAGCACACTGGTAATGTTAGAAAACGAACGATAGTGCTAAAATTCATACCTGCTATTCGGTTTATCGCCCATACCTCCTTTTGTATCCATCCAAGTTGGAATACCTGCCTCAACTAAGATATCGTAAACTTTGGATACGATATCTTTACTCTTCTGATTATATGATAGCATGACATGTTTTCCCACACCGAGCGCCATTAATGCTATCACGATATAGTCAGAAGATTGATATTCAACAATAGTGAAATGCTTAAAGTAAAAGACAGTCAGAAGTTTGTGCGATAATCACTTTTACTATTGCCCGAAGAGTGGGGTGTGAGTGTGTGGGTGGGATACGGGATGGATATCGGTGAAGGCAAGATCTACACTAATATCCACCCACCGATCGAATCAACCGCACTCCGATGTCCACACCTACACCCCTCATACTACTCTGTGGCAAAGTGCCTAATAATCAATTAATATTAGGCATCAACTGAAACTTGTATCATATCCAATACTTTAGAGATGCGATGAAGAGGGCCAGTTAATTATTTTCCTATCTATAATTTGATTAATGTGATGGATGAAGGTCATGCTGTTTGGTCAGAATAATAGTAAGTAATGAAACCTAGGGCGTATCTGGTTTGAAAATACGGTTAAAAGTGCTAAAACTGAGTGAACAACACCGGATCTATTTTTTTAACTACCTGGCTAGGATTACACGAGTTTATTATTGCAACACCCATATCTTCTGCACTCTAAAAAAAATCGGTTCTTTACTGAACCCCCAAAAAAGGTTCT